CCTGTTGTGCAGGGAAGGAAAGTGCTCCTCTGAAGGAAGCAGCCTCACAGCTTCACAGCTGGGTGACCAGAAGACACTTTTGTGAAAAAACAAACCAAAAAAAAGAATCCAAGCTTGGTCATCAGTGAGATTCCAGTCCCCATTCCACTCTCTACCTGGGTACTTTGGCATGGAGCCCCATCTGAGCCTCGTAGCCCTATAACAGTGTGTGTTTTCTGTTGCTATAGCAAAATGGCTGAACATGAGTGTTTTATAAAGAAAAGAGGGTTGTTTAATTCATGGCTTTGGAGGTTGTAAGTCCAAGAAACACACAATTCCATCCGTTGAGCCCCTGGAAATGGCCCCTTAGCTAGGGCATACACTGCAGCTGGCCTCTTGGTAGGTGAATGTGGGGGAGGAAAAGATCACCTAGCAAGACCAGAAGCTAGAGAGAAAGGCAAGACTTGCTCTGTTAGGAGACCTGAATGAATCCCAACAGTCATGTAACCTCCTCCTGCTAGGCCCCACCTTTTAAATGTCTACCACCTGTTAACATCACTGTGTTGGGGGCTAAACTTCCAAAACAAACTTACCCAAGCTACAGCACCCCTCACATCTTCCAATTATTGGCAGTTTGATGATAGTTCTGCTTCTCTCAGGTCTCACATTCCAAAGTTCCATGACTGGTTTCTGAGTAGTCAATCAGCTGCAGCCAGGGTAGAAAAGCCTCAGCCCTAGCAAGCCTGTTGCAGACAAATCTATTTTGGGGCCACTCCTAGAATAAATCAAATCTGTCACCTAGGCAACCAACCTCTGGCAGTTTCTACCCAGCCGTTGGATCCATTCTTCCCAATGGATAACTTTTATAAACTCATGCTTATGCATGTATTCTGCTATTATATAAGTTAATGTTCCTGAACAGCTGAGGGAGTATCTGCCACTGATGCCAATCTTAAGAACTTTATGTTTTTATTGCTCATTGATTTTGTTTTAAATTCAGTAGAAAGAAACACAACTTAAATATAGCAACCTGGTTGGACCCAGCCTGATGGTTCAATTGGCTAATCCTCCCCAGTGCAAGTGCCAGGATCTCATGCGGGCACCAGTTTGTGTCTCAGCTGCTCTACTTCCCATCCAGCTCCCTTCTTGTGGTCTGGGAGGACAGTGGAGGATGGCCCAAAGCTTTGAGATCCTGTACCTGCTTGGGAGGCCCAAAGGAGGCTCATGGCCACTGGCTTCAAATTGGCTCAGTTCTGGACACTGCAGTAATTTGGGGAGTGAAGCAGCAGATGGAAGATCTTTTTCTCTGTCTTTCCTTCTCTCTGTAGAACTGTGTTTCCAATAAAAATAAATAACTCTTTTAAAAAGATAACAATATGGGTACTTTGGCTTACTTTATAATATACCAAAAACCTGCTTTTATGTACATGGCATGGTTTCATGATGCCTCCTTCCACCCCACTGCTGCCAATAGTGACTGTTTTTAAAGCAGTTCCCATCCAAGGACACACTTGAAGGCCATGCTGTTATCCACAGCTAGTGCTATAATGGCAGACTGTCTCTATTTGTTTCATTATCAAGTTCTTCTACCTTCCAAATTTATAATCATTTCAAACCCACTTCATTTACACATTTTCAGAATGCTTTTCCAGATAGTAGCTTTTCAAGATTTCAAATTTCTTTTTTCCTTTTCGAGTATTCTCAGCATCACTAATCGGTAGGAAAATACAAATCAAAACCACGGGAGATAACCTTGTCACGCTCCTTAGAATGACTGTTAGAAAAACAAAACCAGAAACAGAATATGACAGGTGTTGGCCGGGATGTGGAGAAATTGTGCCCTGCTGATGGGAATGTAAGCGAAGCAGCTGCTTTGGAAAACAATGGTTCCTCAGAAAAATCAAACGTAGAAATACCATTTCATCCAGTAATCCCACTCCTGGATGTATGCCCCAGAGGCAGGCACGCAAATATTTGTACTCCATTCACACAGTGGCCTTCTACACAATAGGTGAAAGGTAGCCACAACCCACATGATCACAAATGTACGAATGGATAAACAAGACATGACGTCTTGTTTGGTCTTGGAAATAAAAAAAAATCTGGCACGTGTGCTATGGTCTAAATATACGTGTCAGCTCAGTAGTCACATGTTAAAGTCCCAAGCCCCAACATGTTGAAAAGTGTGGCCTTCAGAGTTGATGACTTAGGTCACGAGGCAACATTCCTTGTAAAATAAGATGAATACCCTTATGTCAGAGGCCTGAGGGATGCCCCATGTCCCTCCCACCCTGTGAAGACCCAGCTAGATGATGCCATGCAAGAAGCAGAAAGCTGATCTTCATCAGACACCACATCTGCCAGTGTTTTGATCTTGGACTTCGGCCTCCAGAATTGTGAGAAACAAATTTCTGTTTAAAAGTCACCTGCTTTAGATACTTACAACATTTCAAACTGATTAAGAGCATGCTACCTCAAGGCTGAACCTTAAAGATTATGCTTAATGAAATAAGCTGGAATTCCAAGGACAACCAGAATGAGACTCTACTTCTATAAGATAGCTGAACTAGTCAAAACCATAGACAGAAAGTCGAGTAGTGAGTCCCAGGGCCTGATGGGGTAGGGGAGACAGCGAGTGCGGAGGTAGTATTTACTGCACTTCAAGTTTCAGTCTTGCAAAAGGAAGAAAGTTCGGGAGATGGAACTTTGGTGGTCATGGTTACATAGGTTAAATGTTCTGAACACACCTAAACATAGCATTGATGGCACATTTTACATTGTATGCATTTTACCACAATGCGAAGACTGTCAACAGCAACAAATATTTATTCCAGCAAGTTAAGCATATCATATAGGTGGTGATAATACTAATAGAACCTCATCAATCAAGTTGCAGCAGTGTTCAATTTTTTGCAGCAGTGTTTAATTTTTTCTTCTAACTCTGTGAGAAGTAGACCATTTAAAACATAGGAGAGAACACAATTTACATAGTTGGTAGCCATGGCTACTTCTATTTTCTTTCTTTGGAGAATTTGAAAGCAGACTATTCCTGCACCACCCATGACTCCCTTATGGCAGCCTCACATCCTCTCAAAGTGTATCCTTTCTGGGTAATCTGCTCAATTCAAACCTAGGGTTTCATTTTCCACCTAAACACTGGCAATTCCCAAAGAGATCTCCATTTTGGAACCTCTTTCCTAACTCCTTACTTTTCTTAACTGTCCAGTTCAAACTCTCAACCTTGCCCTCTCCCCTGCTTCTTCCTCTTCCTCATGGGCCCTCTTCTGACATTCTCCTCTCAGTTATGAGCACCACCAGCTCACAATGGAGCCAGCTGAGTCCCAAGCCCCAAGCCCCTTCTACGATTTCAGTGCTGGATGGCAACCACTGCTCCTGCTTCATCTTTCTGTCTCCCCTGCCAACTACTGCCACAGTGAATCGACTACTCAAAGTCTCTCATCACCTCCTGCATAATCAAGTCCACACCACACACTCCTTAGTATGCACCAAGTTCTTAATGGTTCTGCACAGAGCTTGCACCTGCTTGGGGGTGAGTCTCTCAGGTAGTGCATCATGAGCACTTAGTAGATCTCAATGAAGTCAGTCTTCCACTTCCTCTTCTTCTTCCTCCTCCTCCTCAGTTGTGCTGGCCCCCACCTCCCTCCCTAGCTTTCTCCTCTGGCATCTGCTATCCAAATCCTTCTCTCTGGCTGTGCTTCACTCCTCGCGCCTTTCTACCACTGGAGAAATCACTGGGTTGCTCAACAACCCAACATGGTCACGTGTACCCCTGAGCAAAGCAGTTGATCCTACGAGGTTTCAGATTCCTCTTCGGTGAAAAAGAACAAATAGCTACCTCCCAAGGCTGTGGTGAGGAAAAAATGAGATAAGATTTGCCAAAACAGTTGGTAAATCAAGACTGTGTGACAAGATGTTATTTTGTAATTCATCAAAGCCCTTCATAAATGTTACCATCGCCAAGGAGCATTTTTGGCATACTAAGCTAAAGCCAGCGCTCTCCTGGAATATCTGCCAAGCACAGCCTCCATCACATGCCTCTTGAGCTATCCAAGATCATATCTGCATTAATAACCAGGCTATGAAACCTATGAAGTCCCAGGAAGTCAGTATCCATGGATTCTTTTATGATTCTCCCTTCACTCCTACAGACGCCTTGAAGGTCTAGAGTATTTCAAAGGGGGGAGGGGGAACACCCTTTTGAGATGAGGAAGCAGAGATAAATAGTTCCATGGTGAGTACTCGGAATGTTCTGGGGATTCCCCTCAGGTTTCCGGCCCCACTGCCTGCTTGTGTGTCTATCCACAACATCTCAGTACCACCTCCAGTAACAGCAGCCGGACAGCATGCTGTGTCTTCCAATTACTGAACCTGTGATTAGACATTGATCATCGGTCACCAGACTCTGTGCTGCCGAGCCTAGAACACTTCAGGACTCCAGGCAGCCACAACTGATCAGTGCATTTTGGCACAAGAGGTGAAAATAATTTCTCACCCAGTCAACTCAGACATGCTCCAAATAGCTGGCCCAGAGTCACTAGCTAGCAAAAGGCTAAAGAAAGGAGACTACTTCAGGTGTGGCAAATGAGTGGATTGGACTCAAAGGGATGACCAAACCCTGCAGGCTGTTGCAAAAGACAAACACCCCGTGTTTACATTTACAGGGAGATTTGGTTCCAAATAAAAAGGTCAGAGCTAACCAAAGGTTCTCCAGGAACCCTACTCCTAAACTGGAGCTCCCTTAAGTAGCCCCTCTCCATTCTGGCTGTGTCCGCCAGCCTGTCTTTGGGTCCTCTGGTTATCACTAGAAAGGAGCCAGCACAGCACGTGCTTCCTCTCCCCAACAAAGGGCTTACGTGTAATTAAAAGGGATTACGCTTTGGAGGGGACACAAAGTGAGCCCTTAATCACCAAGGACACGGCAGCTGAGCCCAAGGTGCTCTGTGTGGCGTTTATGTCCATTGCCACCCAGCAGCCCCGGCTCTGGAACGGCTCCTGGTCTTTGCATTGTCAGCAGCATGGGCTTCGCCAGGCAGATACAGCTCTTGCTCTGGAAGAACTGGACCCTGCGGAAGAGGCAAAAGGTAATTGCCTGAGGTCGGTGGGGTGGGGCGATGGGCATCAGAGTGTGTTGCATGGGTGAAGAATACATGGCCTGTGGGCGGTTTGAGATCCTCAAAGTCATTTGTTCAGGTTTGGCAAAGGCAACCACAGGTGGGATTCGAGATTCAACACATCTATAGCAGGTTCACTTTCAAGTTGATAATTTTATATAGTCCATGGAGGATGTAAAAAATATGCAAATGTACCTCATCAGAAAAAAAGGCTGCCACCCCCAATCATGGGTTTGTGGGCATTTAATCCTGAAGTAACAATGAGCTAATGGTGGCCTGGTGAGTGTCCCAGATGAATGTCCTTCACAGAAATCAAACCCCTTTGTCCTCGGCCACATTGGAACCTGCTGCCCAGTTTATGAATCCACTGTCTAGTCATCCCTGCATCCCACCATGCTCAGGCCCCATAATGATGAGCGTCCACACAGTGCAACTGGAGGAACCCTAAGTCCTACATAAGTGCAGGCTTCTTTCACAGTTGCACACTCCTCATTCCTTCCCCCAGCTCATGCTGAAACCAACTGCTACGGACACAAGCTCCTGCAGACTCTTCTAATCACCCAGTGCTCCTGCCTGCAATTCTCCCAGAATGGGCCTGAGCTTTCCAACATTGCTCTTGATGTCTGAACATGCTTCTGATCTTTCCAGTTCACATAGAACCCAGTATAGGACGGGCTCTGTATCAGTTTCCAGTCTGCCCAAGCAGCTTGTCTGTTCCTTGAATGAGGCTCAAAAGAATGTCCTCAAATGCTGCCCAGCTTGGGGAGCCTTCACTTCTGCAAGGCACACGTTTGTCACATTTGAGTGTTTCTGAAACAGGAATGCAATTCATGAGCGAATCACAGGTGGAACTGCTCCTGTCTCCTTTCTTGGTGGTGTAGAAAGCCACCGTACGTGCTGCCTTTGGCGGTGGCTTGTGTTCAACAGAGACAAAGCACATTCCTAGCCATCATAGACCTGTTCTGCACCCTTTCAAGAGCAGACATGCGTCTGGACTGGACTTAGGGGTCTGAAATACCAAGCCAGAGTCAACTCTGGATGAGCTTTCGTGCTGGCTGGAAAAAAATTTGAAGGATGTTTTAGAGACTCAGAGCAACATGAAGTAGCAAAGGTTAAATGTTCCAGGGAAAGGGAAGGTGAGAGCAGAGATCAGAGTGACCCGTCTCTCCTCCAGCCCCTGGGACACCAGGCAACTGGACTCTGCAAGTGACTTATGTAACCCAAAGGAACACTGCACCTGCCTATGGCCTTGCAGAGTTGTGCCAACATCAAGTGACCAAAGAAGTAGAAAAGAGAAAGAAGTGCAAGGATAAAGACTCGGTGCTAGGTGAGGAACCAGATGGGAATAGAAGTGCTCAGAGGGAGGAAAGTGAAGGAGACTGGCCGCAGGAAAGGAGCAAAACCAGAATCTGTGTAAAGTGCAATTCAAAACAGCTTTGTGTAGGCAAGATAGGGTTTTTCCTGGGTGTGGAAAGGAATGTCAGGAGCAAAGTGGGTCCAGCTGGGGAACATCTAAGGATCTATGGATGTGTGTTCCAGTGAGGAGCTGGTAAAAGAACTGAACCCAGGAAGGCATCTGAGGCCACACTTTAAAAGTCTAATCCCCGCAACATGGCAGGTGAGGAGGAGGGGCCTGATGGGAGATTCCTGGGTCAGTGACCATAACAGCAGGTTGTTAGGAAGTGGACCTCCCCTTCTGCCCATGTACCCTGGCTGGTCCCTCTGCTTGTCTACCATGATCTGATGAGATGCAAATGACTTGGCCAGATGCCATCCTCACACCCTTGCTCATGCCCTTGCCCTTGATCACGAACTGGATCAGTTTCCTTCCCTCCTGCGCTGCTCAGTGTGCGTTGTTCTGGAACAGAGACCAAGAATGAGCCAAGACTGAGGATGAGACACACTTAGGTGTCATAGAGGTCACAGCTCCCAGGGGAGACAGGGCCATGATGACGCCTAAGGGATGTAGATGAGAGGGCTGTGGTGTAGACATCAGGCCCCAGGAGGAGTGCATGCCAGGAGGCCACTGCAGCCAAGGGAAGAGGGAGCTGGGGCTGGCTGGTAGGTTTGGAGCTGAGCGACAATGGCTCGGAAAGGGCCAACAAAGGACACAACCGCTTTGCACACAGTTGACCTGGAAGGGGACCTGGAGGGAACACAGAGGATAGGGGAAGAGCTGTGTTGGGATCGCTGGTCTGTGGGATGTGCCGTTGTTCCCAGGCCTCCTTCTTTTGTCAAATCCAGGACCTTTGGGGGTTCCCAGGGCCCTAGCATTCACAGGAAGCCAAGACATGGTCCGTCTTCCAAGAGCTTCCCTTCCTGGATGAAAATGCGAACCAGTCATGAACAAAATTGGTTGCCACAGTTATTCACTTCTTTAAGATTTTTTTTTCTTTGTATGTAAAAGGCTGAGTTACACAGAGAGAGGAAAGACAGAAAGATCTTCCATCTGCTAGTTCACTCCCCAAGTGACTACATAGGCCAGAGTTGAGCAGATCCAAGCTAAGGACCAGGAACCTCTTTCGGGTCTCCCACATAGGTAAGAGGTCCAAGGACTGAGGCCATCTTTTGCTGCTTTTAGCTGGAGCTGGATTGGAAGTAGAGCGATCCATACAGGATGCTGGTACTGCAGGCAGAGGTTTAAATTGCTACTCCACGATGCTAGCCCCAGTTATTCATTTTTTCACATGTCCCTTCAATCATTAAAATTCCCAATAGTTCCCCCAGACAAGGTGCGGGACACACAATGGCTACCAAGGTGATGCCAGGGCCTGCTCCCACGGTGCCTTGAGATGACCGGGATTTTCTTCAGACCGCCAGGTTCCCTCCATGCTTGTGGATGCAACGTGGGCACTCCTGGGAAAACATGTCACCATCACAGAGAACAAAGACTGGGTTTGGCTCATGAACTCTGCCCCGCATCCCTAGTGTTGGTAGGCATCTCCTTGTCCAGGGACTCTGCTTTCTCTGCCAGGGGATGGAGCCCTACAGGCTGGGAACCTATTCCTGAGACATCTCCAGGGCTGGGCCAGTTCTGAGTTGTCATCACCTGCTTCCTAAAGGCCTAAGCATGGAGATCTCATCCAGGAGCTTCTGGATGCTTCCTCACTGCTACCACATTCTGAACATTTCCAGGATGTCTGGCTAAGCCGGAGGCCTGACTCTTGCCCCAGTACCTCTCAGAGGGGCCTGTGTCTCCTTCCTATGCTTTTAGTTCTTCTGGAAGCTTCTGCTTCTGGAATATGACAACTTTTCTTAAAGTATAAACACCTGGCCCATAACTCAGTCCCTAGGCTTCTTTTTAAAAGGACTTTTTATTTAGTTACTATTTGTTTATTTAAAAGACAGAGAGGAGAGAATCTTCCATCAGCTAGCTCATTCCCTGACAATGGCTGCAGGAGCCAGGAACTTCCTCAGGGACCCAAGCACTTGAGCACTCACCTGCTGCCTTGTTAGGTGCACAAGTAGGAAGCTGGATCAGAAGCAGAGCATCCAGGACCCGAAACGGCGCTCTCATATGTAGATGTTCCAAGTGGTAGTCTAACCTGGTTTGCTGCAAGGCCACTTGCTTTCAGTTCTCCGAGATTCCCACGGATTGGAGGTGTTTGTTGTGAGCAGAAAAATGAAAACAGAGGCCAAATTCCCCATTCCTCTCCTCCCATGCCCTGAGGGCAGAAGGTGAAAATTCTCAGGCCTCTGTCTTCCCCTCTTCCTCCTTTTATCAGCCTTCCCACCCCCTGATTGCATTATCACAGAAGCCCTCATGATAGGCAGTTCCGAGTGAGAGCCTCCTCTCCATCTCATGCCACTGCTGAATGATGAGGTCCCCAAGGCCTCTGACAAGGGTTTGTGACCACTGGGGCTGGGCTTGGCATGGCCATCACAACACATCACCCCAACGAGCTAGGCCCTCTCCCACAGGCTGGTCATGGGTGCCACCTAAACGTAGAATTTCTCATCCAAACTAGCACAGGTTTTTTTGTTTTGTTTGTTTGTTTTAAGATTTATTTATGTTTATTGGAAAGGAAGATGTACAGAGAGAAGGAGAGACAGAGAAGAAGATCTTCCATCTGATGGTTCACTCCCCAAGTGGCTGCAATGGCTGGAGTTGAGCCAATACAAAGCCAGGAGCCAGGAGCTCTTCCGGGTCTCCCATTCAGGTGCAGGGTCCCAAGGCTTTGGGCCATCCTCAACTGCTTTCCCAGGCCATAAGCAGGGAGCTGGCTGAGAAGTGGAGCTGCTGGGATTAGAACCGGCGCCCATATGATCCTGGTGCATCCAAGGCAAGGACTTTAACTGCTACGCTATCTCGCCAGGCCCTAGGACAGTTTTGTGAGGCAAAGAGGGTTCTGTCAACAATCATTGCACAACAAGAAATGGGAACTAATGCCAGACTTGGCAAGTGGGCTGTAGGTGTGCCCCCTGCTATAGGATGTTACAGGTAGGTGGGAGAAGCCCCCCATGTCTCATAACTGAGCAGAATCAGGTGCCCAAGGGAGGTTGTGGGCAGCACGACAAGGGGAGAAGGCAAGGTAAGCTCACAGCTGGGCTGGCTCCCGGTACCCAGGGCCCCCCACTGCACGAAGCAGGTGACCTCCTACAGACTGGCTGAAGACCAGACACTGGGCCTGGGAGAGGCGCTAAGGACCATCAGGTGTGTTGTCACTACCCACGTCCTCCCTCCCTGAGAGCTCACAGTCTTCGGTCCCCTCATGTCATCCCTGCATCTCAGGATCTGGGTGAGGCCAGGATATCTGGGGAAGGCCTAAGGATTCCTAAGAAGTTAGGGCTGGTGAATGGTGCTCATCACTTCCCAGACTTCAGGCCTGGACATGTGGCCCAGATGTGGCCTTTAGTCCTGTGCACCACATCACAATGTGGTAGGTGCAGGGCCTGAGCAGTTGACCCCAAGTGTCCCCAGGTTCTGTGTCATGTTCACCCAAGCTGAGTCCTGTCTGGGTCCTCCACACAGAAGGGAGATTCACATGGCTCATTCCAAGCTGTGGCTACCCTCTTTCTAAGTTGAAAGCAGAGCAAAAGGGAACAAAGAAATCTAACTAGCTAAGCTATCAAACAATAAGCACAACTCCGCCCCGACCAGACTCCCCACCACCCTCACAGTGACAGAAGGGTAAAGAGAAAGGGGGGAGGGGAGACAGAGAGAGAATGAGAGAGAGAGAGAGAGAGAGAACAAGGAAATACCAGTTAGGCCCCTTCTGAGCCTCGACTGGTCTTAATTAAAGTTACCAACATGTTTGGAGAAAAGGGCAGGGAGTCCAGGCTGCTGGGAAAGCATGCTTTTAATTACACTGTGGAATTTCTCCCCAGGGGAAGCCCGGCACGGTAGAGCATCAAGGACAAGGACGCGGTTCTGGGCTGTGGGTACAGAGCATGGTTCTGGGGGAGGGACAAGAGTCCAGGGGGTTTGTGTGTGGCAGGCAAGTAGAAGAGAGAGCTCCTCTGGATGTTGGTGGATAGTTAGCATGGTGAGCTTGACTATCCCCAAAAATTGCCTTTCCAAGGTCACCACAGCTGCCTGCAGCAAGACTGTTTGCAAAAACACCTTTCCAACTGCAGATGTCCTTCTGGGGCTCAGCCCAGCATCGCTGTATGTGAGCAATGGTTCAGGTGGAGATGATGGCCAGAGACAGAGCCAAGGGCTCACATGCCATGTCCTCTGTCCAAGAGGCAAGAGAGGTATGAACTTGGGTTTAGAAATGTTCTCCAGGGGTCAGACAGACAAGACCCCTTTATTGGGGATCAGCAGACATGCATGGTTAGTGTCCAAGGAAACCTTGTGGTTCCAAATTCACATTCCACATCCACAAAGGAAGGGGCCATGAGTGTCAGGGCAGGGCAGGCTTAAGTGCCTGCAGGTCATTCTAATGAGAGCTTGCTTTTCAGTCTTTGCAACATGCTGTCACCTGCAATGCCCCGGTGACCCCTGTGACACCCCTGGGAGGCAAGGAATAAATGTTTGTGTTTCCCGAGAGCTACCAGGTGTGTCAGGTTCTGCTTCCTGCTCAGGTCAGCCACACACTGCCCTGGCAGAAGGGTCCTGTTATGTCCGCTGAGAGGCCGGGAGGGTCTCAACAGTTTACCTAAGGTCACATAGCTAAGACAGAGCAGGCTAGATGGGAACCCAGTCCTCAACCCCAGAGTGACCGGTTCTTAGCCTTTGGTGTACCCTGTAGGACATGATATCAGTCCCATTTAATAGATGAGAACACTGAGACACAGAGGTTACGCAAGCCCGAAAGTGCTTGTTAACCCAGATCCTCCCACTCCCTGAATGAACCTTGATGTTTGACATACCAGGCCACTCCCAGATAGGCATCTGGGCTCAGGAGGCAGCTGGTACAGCTGGTGGAGAGCCAGCGATGCAGGCAGGGGGCGGGAGGAGGAGCCCAACCAGGAGTGTCCGGACTGGTTGTCTCACTTCCTTGGCCAGGACAGCACGCGCAATTTCCAGTTTCGTCACTTGCACTATCACTCACGTGCCTGCTATCTTGCCCAGCTTGCTCCCCGACCTCTCTGACAGGAGGACGCAGACCGGAAGGGGAGGTGCCACTACTGCGCACACCTCCGCAGGCTGCTGGACACCTGAACCCCAAAGTTGCTGCCAACTTTCCTGGGCGAGACTGCTACTCCAATGTGGACAGAGCTGTCTCATCCGAGGGCTAGCTCCTGGGCTGGTAATACTGTGAGTTCTCCCTTGTGGAGGGAGCTGGAGTCACAGCAGGGAAAACACAGACCTCAGGAAGCTCCCAGCACACTGAGCTGCATTCACCTGTTAGAAAAATGGCCCTGATGTTCCACATGCTGGGCAGCTGGGCAATAAGACACGAAGGTCCAGGCTGCTGGAGGCACAGCTGGTGCAGTGGCCCAGGGGCCAGGAGGCAACCAGCTGGGGTGCCTGGGGAAGAGGTGCTTCCTGGCTGCCCTTAGCCCGCATGCGCCTGAGGGTAACAGCCAACATTCCAACACCAAACATGCTGGGGGCCATGGCTGGTGGGAATTGGCCAGCCCTGATGTTTTCACATCTTGTGGGAGAAGATGTGGGGGCAGCTATGAATACTGAATACCATGGAGCAAAATCCCTCATTTCTTTCTTTTTTTCCCCTCCTTCTCTTATTTGTATCTGTACTTCCTCTAACACATCCTTCCTGGACAAAAAGTTGCAATTGCATAATTACCACCTCCCCCAAATATCATTGGCTTTTCCCCCTGCTGTGTATAATCTTTTTTTCCCCCACCAGTGCATTTCTGACTTGTGACTTTTTGGTTGCCAACAGATAGGTCGTGCTAAGCACAGTTTTCTTTACTGCCAGGAAAGGAACCTACTAGGATGCCCGCCATTTGGCTGAGAAAGGACTAAAGGAGAGTCATGCCAATAGGCCCAGCTCATCTCTAGGGACTTCAGGCTCTGTTCCTGGCCAGCTCCTGAAGTTCTTGGATCTTAGGGGTCTCCTTCTCAAGGTCCCTGGAATAGACTAGGTAAATATTTTTATTCCCCTTTCTCCTGCCCCTCCACTGCCCATACCCCCAACCTTGCCACTGATGTGGAGCTCCAGAACCTAGAGGCTCCTGTTCTGGGGTCTACAGTACCTGAGTTCCAAATGGAACCCAAGCTTGAAGACTAGCTTTCAGCCATACGCTGGGAACAGCAGCTACTTCCATGGTAAAAACAGACAGCACTATATCCATCTGCTTCTTGAAGCAATTTAATGTCATGAAGAAAGCAGGTGGATAAACCCTGATTTCTGCTAAGGATCTCAGTATTTCAAAGAGCCATTTAGTCATTCATTCAATCCAAGATTACATGGGCAGAGTCTGCTACACGCAAGAAGAAGGCTGGGTCAGGCAGAGGGGCACAAAGAGAGTCAGTGCCAGAGACAAGAGGTCTCTGCCTTGGTCATGCAGTGTGGGTCTCCTTTCTCAGTGCCATGCACCTCAGCCACAGACCGGAGATTATAATAAGATCTTTACTATCTACATACAGCATCAGCTTCAACTAGAGACTCATTAGAAAAAAGTGGAGGCAGCATGGTGATATCGCACGCTAATCCTCCACCTGCACTGCCAGCATCCCAAATAGGCATAAACTTGTATCCTGGATACTCCACTTTTCATCCAGCTCCTTGCTTATGACCTGAGATAACACCAGAGGATGGCTTGGACACCTGCACCCACATGGGAGACCTGAACAAAGTTCCTGGCTCTTAGCATTGGATTGGCTCAGCTCGACCTTTACGGCCATTTGGGAAGTGAACCAAAACATGGAAGATCTCTCTGTCTCTCTGTGATTCTGCCTTTCAAATAAATGAATAAATAAATAAATGAACCTTTAAAAAATACAATTATGGGAAGAGTCTTTTGGAATAGCAATTGAGACACTGCTGACAAGGCTATATGGATTGAAATTCCTGGGTTTGGATCCCAGCTCTGTTTCCAAGTCCAGCTTTGTGGCAATGCACATCTTGGGGAGTAGCTGGGGAGGGTCCAAGTGCTTGGGTCCTGCCCACCCACGTGGGAGTCCTAGACTGAGTTCTTTGGCTAGCCAAGCTCATACTGTTGTGAACATTTGAAGTATGAACCAGAGGATGGGAAATCTCTCTCTCTCTCTCTCTTGATCTTTTCTATTCTGTATCTCTGCCTTCCAAATAAACAAAATTCACCAATTTAGAAACAAAAGAAGGTGTAGTGGGGGCCATACTGGGTAAAACTGCATTCGTATGCACAGTGATGTTGGCAAAGCCCCCAAAGTCCTGAATCTTTATGGAAGTCTGTGCTGAGAGTGCTTGCTTCAACAGAAGCTAAGCAGAACCCCGATGCGCAGAGGATCTGACTGGTGCACTCAGCCAGGGGCAATGTGGCCCAGGAGGTGGGCATGTGAGAAGGAAGTCCTGGAGGTTGCCACAGCATGGCCCACATCTGGCTGCACACAGTGCCAAGATGAAGTCTGTCTGTCCTGGCCGTGCCTCCTGTGCTCTCAGCATCCCTGGTCTTTCTCCCACTGATTTTTTTTTTTTTATTTTGCTTGTTTGTTTCTTCTTTCCAGATTCGCTTTGCGGTGGAACTGGTGTGGCCTTTATCCTTATTTCTGGTCTTGATCTGGCTAAGGAATGCCAACCCGCTCTACAGTCAACATGAATGTAAGTGAAGAGGGGGCAGCCGGGGCAGCCCCAAGGGCACACCAGGCTGGCCTTCTGATCACTCTGGGAGGGTGGTATGAGGATTGAATTTGTCTAGCACCACTTCACCTCTGCTGCACACAACAACAGAGCTGCATTGGTTGTACACAAGCCTTAAGTCTCAGCAAACATTTGCGTGTGGTTATTGAAGGCTTGTGTAATTAGTTTTGTTTGTTTGGGTTGGAATTTTTTTCTTTGTACCTAAACCTTCACCCATTTGAAAGAGACAGACTGTACATGAGTTCTTAAAAATAGTTCAGTGACCAGTTAAGGGGGTGTGTCAGACATGGTGCTGGAGAAAAATGAGCAGAAAGGATGCAGTACAATCCCACTTTATCAGATAGTCTTCTTTGGACCCCTGAGGGGCTCGGGGTCCAGAAAAAAGCCTTTCTGCTGCTAGAACCCTCTGTGAAAGGCTTCGTCTGGTTTCTGGTCTGACCGGAACTATTTCTTCTCTCCCTTGGCAGTTGATGGAAGTTTCCAGGGCAAAGCAAAGCAAAGCTGCCCATCCCCTATTCCTGGCCTTTGCCTTCTGTCTATGAGTTTCCAGCCCCAAGTAGTTAATCAGGCCTTCTGTTCACCAATTCTCGCCTTTTTACCTGGTGCTCCTCTCCCCGCAGTGTGATACTTGGTCTTGTGACTAACTTCTTGTCTCCACTTCCTGTTTTAAAGGCCATTTTCCCAACAAGGCGATGCCCTCAGCAGGAATGCTGCCGTGGCTCCAGGGGATTTTCTGCAATGTGAACAATCCCTGTTTTAAAAATCCCACCCCAGGGGAATCTCCTGGAATTGTGTCCAACTATAACAACTCCATGTAAGTAGTGAGGTGCCCGCCGCACAGGGGAGCTGCCTGCCCCTTTAGTCTCCTCCTGGGACCAGAATGCGCATGCAGGTGCACACACCTGCAGAACAGGTACACTACAGGAGTGGTTTCGGTTTTGAGCCTTACTGTGAGCTTCTGCACAAGCCAGCACAAGGAGCACAAGGCAGACTTCCTCTGTGGAAAATTCCATGAACCAGCAGGGTACTTGAGAAGAATGTTTGGAAGTGGCCACATGGACACAGTTTTCTTGGTTCTTGTATCCATCCCCAAAGTGTGACTTGAAGATGGAGGGCATCCCGCCTGTAAAGCTGTGTCGCTGGCTTCTAGGTCACCTGTTACTTGAGTGGCATTATGGTGCAAGGAAAATATTGGTACTCCAGGGATCCCTGACAGATCTCTGTTCCTTTAAAGGCTTTCCCACCTAAGGGCTAAGAGGCAGGGAACATTATTGGAGTAAATGAAATCAGGCTCATCAGGTGCAATGAGAAAAAGACCAATCCTAAATCCTCTGATGTGATGGCCAGCAGTGCTTTGAGTGGCAGCTTTGGGCCTGTGGCTGCAGAGAGGGGTTTCTAAGCTGAGGGGCTGAAGACCCATAAGAAGCTGACAGGCCCATCTCCTGAGAGCCATGCCCACATGCCCAGCACTTCACTGTGCTTGTGATTCCAAGGGACTGCCCAGTCTGGGGTCACTTTTCAAGTCAAATCCCCCAGGAGAAAGGGCCACCTTGGGAACAGAGGCTCAGGGGTATGGACATGGCCGTCCTTCATCCCCTGTCTGCTCTTGACAGCTCAATCTGAAGGTCATCCCAGGTCTTGTTAGGGAGTAAGGACAAACACAGGGTCAGTTGGAACCTGAGGTAGGTGGTTGACTTTTTATTTATTGTTTGAAATGAGATCAGTACAATTCTCCAGGACCAATCTGCATTTACATTTTAAAGATTTATTTATTTATTTATTTGAAAGGTAGATTTATAGATAGAAGGAGAGACAGAGATCTTCCATCTGCTAGTTCACTCCCCAAATGAAATCAGCTGAAATGGAGCTGATCCAATGCCAGGAGCCAGGAGCTTCTTTCGGGTCTCCCACACAGGTGCAGGGTTCCAAGTCTTTGGGTCATCCTCTACTACTTTCCCAGGCCACAAGCAGGGAGCTGGATGGGAAGTGGCCAGGACACAGACCAGCAGCCATATGGGATCCTAGTGCTTGCAAGGAGAGGATTAACCAATTGAACCATTGCCTCAGGCCCTGTGTTTAGATTTTTTACAGGAACACTTAGTAGGGCAACCTAATGCTCCAAGGAGTCTTGCCCACTGGATCAAACTAAGGCTGCTTTTGCCCCCACTGTGGCAGAGTCGAGCAGTTGTGATGGAGATGGCATGGTCCGCAAGCCTGTAGCATGCACCTGTTGCTCATACACACCTTAGGACCATCCTTCCTCCCTTGTAAGGAAGTAGAGGCAAGTCAGGAGAGCAAGTTTGGGCCAAGCTCATATCGCTACCAATGCTGTCAGGAAGCTTTCATTTCTGCCACATTTTGATGTTCCTGCCAAGAAGAACTTCCCACCCGCTGTTGGTCAGCGACACTACCTATGAGGCACACTGTTGAGGATCTGGGAAAACAGGAACTACAACTGGACCCCTTATTGCAAAAAAGCGGCTGTTTTTCTACCCCTTTCTGCTGCTTTTCTCCCCTCTCTCCTTTTCTTCCCTCTCTCCGCTGCTTTTCTCTGTAGGTCTTAGCTTTTCTCTGCTGCTTTTCTCCCCATAGGCCTTATTGCATTTGTACCCTTTCTGCTGCCCCTTTCTTCTCCCCATCCATCTTATTGCTTTTAGTGGCTGCGTTTTATACCGCTCTCCACCAATCACTTCTCCCCTTGAATCCACTTGGCGCTACCTGATCAGCCAGTAACAATGACATAATCACAGTGAGGGCATCAGCGTATCCCCGTGACTTCCTGTTTATCTGCTGGTGAGACCAACCCTGCCTCCTGGCCCTGGGCCAGCTGCCATCCTGCGCTGGCCTTTCACATTACTGGGGGCCGCTCCTGCGCCCCGCTCCCCACAGAAAAGGGAGCCCACGGGGTTGCATGAAGGTGTTAGGGGAACCCTGGAGACAGCTCAGAGGATGCTGCGGTTTGATGGGACTGGCACTGGAGGTGTTTATAGATGTTACTGGGGAAGATTGAGGGATGGGAGATGGAGAAGGGGGTTCCAGATTCCAGCTGGACTTAGCATGTGAATGAGAGAGGCTGGGTCTCACACCCATCAAGGCTGAAATGTTGTGTCTATTGGAGCTTGTTTCACTTGCAGGGCATTAAGGCATGTCCCACAAAGGCCTGCTCCTTTAGCCCCATGTGGGCCTGCAGGCCCTGGCCTCCCTGCGACTCACCACTGGCCTCAGCCCTGCTCCTGCACAGCCAGGCTGCTGCTGGCTGCCCAGTTTACAGCATTGCAGCCTAGGTCATCTGGAGAGTATTCTTGCATACTTCAAATTCCCAGGAACAGATCTGGATGGCCTTGCTCCATTCTCCCTAGCTGACTAGCTTCAGCAAGCATGCCTACGTGCATCCCTGGATGCATTGTATGCACAGAGAGGAGGGGCTTGGGGGTGCACATGGCCATCATAGCCAGGTGAAGGCAGGGAGGAACCTCCAATGATATCCACCTAAATCCTCCTCTTTTGCACCTTTTTGGACACGAATGAAATGTGACATGGCCCTACCCAAACTGAAAGACTGAGCAAATTATTTACCACCTTTGTCTGTTCTGCTGCATGCATACCCTGGGAAGCCCCTTCCTTTCTCCTTTTGCTTTGGCAGTAGCATGAGGATACCTAATGCAGTAGCTAGCTGTTTCCTGATAGATGAGTTCTTATTCCTCTTACAGCTTGGCAAGGGTGTATCGAGATTTTCAAGAACTCCTCAGGGACGCACCAGAGAGCCAGCACCTTGGCCGTGTTTGGACAGAGCTCCGCACCTTGTCCCAGTTCATGAACACCCTGAGGACTCACCCAGAGAGAATGGCAGGTGAGCTGGGCTTCACTGCCCCCAAGTATCACTGGCCCCTTGCTCGTCTCCAGCCATCAGAGAATAAAGTTCCTAGGTGAGTGAAGGAGGGATGGCACTTCCTCCCCACTTGTTCTGAAAACAGTTAGTGGAATTGCTTCTCAGCCTTTTGGCTAAGATCACGTGTAAAGCAGGGAGTGGAGAAGGAGGACAGCAAAGGTCTCAGCCCAGGAAATCTAAGACAGAAAGGAGAAAGCAGAGAAGCAGTGTTCTGCAAAGGGCAAGGGGCAAGGTCAAGTCAAGGCCTAGAAGCAGGGAGAAGGATTTGCAAAGGTTGCAAAAGGTGTGGGACAGCCTGCAGAAAGTCTCGGGGGAGGGGAGGTGGCTAACAGTGCAGTACTGATGCTGAGTACCACTAAGGGTATTGGAGCACTCAGAGACCACCTATGTAAATAGATGTGGCCCTGTGATTTCTTTCAGTCATATTTAGCTTCCAGTTCCAGAAACAGCACAGATGGGAGGCGGGCGTGGTGATGCAAGGGGAGAACCAGAGAAGGTGAAGGAGGCAAGGGGAGGGAGATAGTGCTTGGACAAAAAGCACTCAATGCAGGATGCATACCGATGCATTAGAAACCAGAAGTACTGACACGGACTGGGGCTGGAGGAATAGAAAAGCCAGAGGCCTCGATGGAATTCATGACACCATTGAAATGACAAGGGTTCAATAACCCAAACATCAAAGGAACTAGTGGCTGTGGAGAAAGCTTTAATATTTGAGACCTCAGGACTCCTCTGGGCGGAAGCTCCAGAAAAGCACATGCATACTTGGGACTCACTGAAGAAATCATGTGACTGTCCCGTGCTTTGGGTTTGTAATGTGTGGCTGCCTCATGGGGAAAATAAAGCGATGCATTAGGGCTAGGGTTAGGAGGTGAAATATGTGGATTCCGGTTTCTGAAGTCAGGCAGGATGGGTGAGATCAGACCAGTAAGTGTGGCCTTGATGGTGTGCAATAGAAAGGAAGGTATGGGACAGTGGGGAGGACAGAGGAAGTGGGAGGCCAGGGACACTGAAGTTGCACAGGAAAGTGATAGGGTTTGGGTGCCCGCCCAGGTAGGAGAGCACATGGAGCAAGGCACAGTGAGGAAGGAGGAAGGACAAGGGACTCCACCTTCATGTGTCCCTAGCCTGGGGGAGAAGCAAGACACAAAGCCAATGGCAGAAACAGTACCCACATGTCTTTTAAAGACATTTGTTTTGAAAATCAGAGTTACAGAAAGCAAGGGAGAGACACACAGGAAGAGATCTTCTGTCCGCTTGGTTCACTCCCCAGATGGCTGCAATGGCCAGTGCTGGGCCTGGCCAAAATCAGGAGCCAGGAACTCCATCCAGGACTTCCACATAGGTGGCAGGGGCCCAAATACTTGGGCCACCTTCCGAAGCTTCCCAGGTGCAGTAGTAGGAAGCTGGATCTGAAGTAGAACAGCCAGGACTCAAACCGGCACCCATATGAGATGGTGGCATTGCAAGTGGTATAAGCGACATATATGTTGCATCCATCGTGGGCACCTCTGCCATGGCTGGAGGTGCTGGCTATGGCACCTGGAACGCTTTCCCCAAGAGAAAGTTAAAAGTTAAAAGGGTGTGAGTCAGCTAAGTTCAGCTGGCTGCTGCAGTCTTGTAAATAGAAGGTGACTAGGAGAGGGACACTATGAGACCAGCACTCAGAGGCTGCGAGTGAGCATCGCATTTTGGAGCTGTAGGGAGATGCGTGCTGTTGGCATTGGTGCAGGAAGGGGGTGGTTGCAAGAACGAGCATTGAGGACCACAGGTGGGAAGAAGAAGGGTTACCAGGGAGACAGACTACACTTGCTCTGGGTTCCAAACAGGCATGGCAGGAGAATGGCATGCATCAACCCTGTTTTGTGTAGTGCAGACACAACACCTCCTGGGAGTCAGGCATCAGGCTGTGCTCTGGGAACAGAGAGAGAGAAGAGAGCAACTGAACCAGAGATTACCCACTGAAGTCACCCTCTGAGATGCAGGGACAAACACACAGGGCAGGAAATTAGCAGGTGGGCATGGGAAACACAGCAAGGGGTGCGGGAGAGCCAACAAAGAACTACTCTCCCCATCCACCGCCACCCGGGATTGTTTTCTGCGTGCTGTCCTCATCCCAGTGAGAAAGCTCAGGGCAGATGGGCCTTTGAACCTTCACTACCTTCGAACGGTTTCAAAAGCAGCAAAGCATGCACTTTATGGTTTTTTTTTTTAAGAGTTTTAACATTATTTTTTTTTAAAGATTTATTTTTATTATTTTTTTTATTGGAAAGGCGGATATACAGAGAGGAGAGACAGAGAGGAAGATCTTCCATCAGATGATTCACTCCCCAAGTGAGCGCAACAGGCCGATACTATGCTGATCCGAAGCCAGGAGCCTCTTCTGGGTCTCCCACGTGGTTGCAGGTTCCCAAAGCCTTGGGCTGTCCTCGACTGCTTTCCCAGGCCACAGGCAGGGAGCTGGAAGGGAAGCGGGGACCTTTAACCACTTGCGCCACCGCGCCGGGCCTGCACTTTATGTTAAATAATGTTCTACAACCAGACAAATGACAAGCATTTGGCAGCCCTGTCTTGAAGGGCACTATGGAGATAAGCGCAATTAGCATTTTAATAGTGGAAGAAGTTAGGGTTCCACCTGCCAGAAAGTGTTAATTTAGGACTGCTGGGGTAAATGCTCCCAACCCCTGAGTGGGGTCTGTGAAGAGCTAGACATTTCCTTGCAAATGATTGGCCCTCCAGTTGAGTTTAGCTGGAGGAACTTGTGGCTGGGAAGTGATTCCAAGCCGCAGTTTCCATGCTGTTTTTGTCATGTGGATATGAGAACCCAAATCACCACCTGTTAACCCCACATTGGGACTGACTTTGGGCAGCGACTGAGGGCTTCAAAAAGCCTGTGGAAGATGTGTATCACAAAGAAACCACGTGTGGATTTCAAAGCACGTGGACACCACTGTAAACTCTTTGCATTCTGTTTTCCCACAGACTGCTAGAAATGTTCTTGTGCAGGTGATTTCCTCTTGCAGGCTCAGGAGAGAATTCCATAAAGGAGAGCAGGGCTGGGGAGACCACCCAAGGTTCTCCTAAGGCCTGGGACAGTGCCCCTGACCCTAGGGGCCAGGAGAGGGGACAGGCGTCCACCCAATGGAAGGAACGTGTCTCTGAAGGGAGTCTGGGCTGGGGTTATTTCAGAGTCCATGCTAGCGTTAGCTGCAGTGCTGGCTCCAGAGCCCCCCAGCGTGTAGGAAGCCTCCGGCAGGATGGAGAGGGGCACTCAGCCTGCGGTCCCCCTCACCTGGGAAAAGCATGCGGGTGGAAAGCAAACCTGTCGCACAGCATTCTGAGCAGGGGATTAATGGCCAAAGGGCAGCAGGCGGAGCCCCCTTTCCTCAACCCCCCTCCCCCAGCAAGCTCCAGGGCCTCTCTCAGTCATCTTTAACACCTTCTCCCCTCCTCCTTCCTCAGTGCCCACCCCCCAGCCTCTGATCTTCCCAGGGAAGAGAACCAGAAGAACCACATTTCAAACTCAATTTAGTTTTCTTTCCTCAGGCCCCCAGTTCACATTTCTCCCTCAGGAGCCACGTGAAGCTTCTATGTGTCTGGTATCGACCACCTCTCCCACCCCCAACCTCCATGCTCACTTACTTACTGCCCCCCACCAGGGCAGCTGGGATCCCTCCCCAGGCAGGTGGGGCATGCACGCACTGGCCTCCTCCCCGGTGGTGGGGGTTGGCTCACCTGGGTGGCATCCTGTTGGCTACGTGCAGCATTCCCAGCTCCCATTCTCTGCCCCCCCCCTCCCTGGCCAGGAGAGGTCAGGTGAGTGAGTTAAAGAGTAACAGCCAGATCAGCAGTCCCACTGGGTCCTGTGTCCAGAAGACCTAGACTGTGTGTGTGTGTATGTGTGTGCAGGCACATGCACTCACAATGGGCATGTGGATGGAGAGATAGCGCATCAGGCTGTCCACCAAGGGGTCAATGGAGAATTGCATCTGGGCGGTAGGACAGAAGGGAGAGCTAGGCGTGGAGGACCACAGGAGGGCAACAACAAGACAGAGCAGCCCTCTCAGTCTTCCGTCCTGTGACCAGCTTCCCCTCAAATTTACTTGCCCCAGGCAAGCAGGAGTGACACCGAACTAACCAGTGGCCTACCTCTCCCAGGCAGGCACCATTGGCAAGGGACCATTGTGTGCCAGAGGGGGCTCAGGACTGGCCTAGGGAAGATGTTCCATGTGACAACAAAACGAAAGGAGCCACACGGAGCTGGAGCCACAGACCCTGTGCTAGGGCAGTTGTGAGGGATCCTAGGCTGTTGGGTCTTGGGACGGTCTTGTTGCTCACCTGGCAAGGGGTGATTGGCAGAGGACAGCCAGGGCGGCAGTGGATGGCAGGGGACAGCATGAGCAGGGGGACATTTGATGAAAGTGAGTTACACCCCAATTGGACTTGTGTAGACTGGCATTTGCACACAACCCAGCACTCTCCCTTCACACTGGAATGACTCCACTGAGCTCCTGGACTACAACATGCTGCTCTGGAAAGCACCTTGGAAGCTTAGCAGAGGCCAACTTGAGGCTGCACGTTGGCCTTGGAAGCAAGCAGATAGGGAAGAGTGCAGACACAGGGAGAGAGGTGCGCTTGTGTGCCCCAAGGTCATGTTCACAGTCCCTAGTGTGAAGAAATTCCTGCTTGCCATGGGTTTTGAGCATGATTGGGGCTGTGCCAGGCAAGCTTTGGCTCTGTCCTCCAATCCTTTCCTGCTGCTAGCAGCCCTCTGCTTACCTACTCCTAAGACAGTGTGCCAGCTTAGCTGACAGAAACTCCATGACACCTAGAGCGGGACAGAGCCACTGTCCAATCCTGGACCAGGGCTCCTCAGCCCAGGCTTAGTCCTGTGCACTGTGGGATGTTTGCAGCATCCCTAGCCTCTATCCACCAGCACTTCCCAGTCGAAAGACCCAAAAATGTCTCCCCAGGAGTTGTCAAATATTCTCATTGGGACAGAACCACCCTGTGCTAGTCCCTCTGTGCCTAACACTGTTAAAAGCTGCTGCTCCAGGCCAACCCCATGAGGCACCTGCCCAGCCCTCTCCCAGTGCAGCCTAATGTCCTAACGTTCCTGCCCTCTTTGCCTTCATTGCTGCTGCTGGGGTAATTGCTGTGACAGTGTAGCCCCTGCAGAGGGTGCTGAACCCAGAAGGTGGAGGAAGCTCACTTCCAAGGGTCAAGTTAGAAGTGTTTCCAACCCATACTAGCTCTCTTTTCTTTTCTTTTTTTAAGTATTTATTTACAGAGAGAGGAAGAGGCAGAGAGAGAGAGTGCTTCCATTTGCTCATTTACTCTCCAGTGGCCTCAAAACCAGGAGCTTTTTCTGGGTCTCCCACATGGGTGCAGGGACCATCCTCTGCTGCTTTCCCAGGTACATTAGCAGGGAGCTGGATCAAAAGTGGAGCAACCAGGACTGAAACCAGCATCCATATGGGATGCTGGTGCTGCAGGTGGAGGCTTAACCTTCTACGCTGCTGCAGTGCTGGTCCCTTCTCCCTTCCTTGGACCCATGTTCGCTTCCCATCCAGCACCCCATCCTCTCTCTCTCACTGATGTACAGGAAAAGGAATACGAGTTCGGGATATCTTGAAAGATGAAGAGACATTGGTGTTATTTCTCAAGAGGAACATTGGCCTGTCTGACTCAGTGACTCACCTTCTGGTCAACTCCCAAGTCCGTCCAGAGCAGGTAAGAGGAAGCTGTGCGTCAGTGGTCCCTGTAGGGCAGTGGGGAACACCTGAACTTGAAAAATGCAAGGGAGGTCATGGCAGCATTTTCCTTTCTGTGTTCACATTCAGAATCTGTGATTCATGCCCAAAGTTCAAAAAAAATACCTCGGGTTCACTGAGGTGACACGTATTCCCATCAGAGAGGAAACTGGCAACGCTTACCCCTCCGGTCCTTGTAACTGTCAGGATTTGGAGGGAGCATGTGGCTCAGCTCCTGCACATGTTGCAGGAGAGGGCAGCAACTCTGTTATGTGAGGGCAGCTAGGGGTACTGCAACGTAGCGTGAGCCAAGCACAACGCTGGACCCCCAAGCAGGACCTCTGCTACATGTGCCCTGGATGTCAGCAGACAGGGGCCTGATCAGAGGAAGGGCTTCAGGGGGAGGAGAGTCCTGGCCAGTCCCTATGGGGACTGGGTGTCAGAATCAGGAAACCAGCAGTGGGAGAAGGAAGTCTGTGTTCTTCAGAGGGCCTCAGCAGATCCCTTCCAGGTCCATGGTTTCAATATTCATTTTGCCCCCTGAGATACTCTATGGTCAGGTAGAGTGTCTGTGCCAAGAACACATTTTGCAAATGCAAGCTCCTTTATTCCTCACAACAGCCCCAAGATGGGTCAAGCAGTTAAGGCAACTGAGGCAGCTGGTGCTGGACTTGATCCATCCAAGCTAGAAATAGTGAGTGCCAGCAAGGAACACAGGCTTCCTTGCCACCTACCCAGCATCTCTTCCTCCGGCCCCTGTAGCAGCTGGAAGCACCTCAGAAATGCACACTCTCAGACCACTCCCCAACTGAGTCCAAAGCTCTGGGGTTGTTTTTCACTTTTTAAATTTATTTTGACTTATTTAAAAGGGAGCGAGAAGGAAAGAGACGGAGAGAGATGGAGAGGAAGAGAGTGAGAGAGGAAATGGATCTCCCCCAGCCTCTGCTTCTCTGTCCAAGTGCCCCCAGTAGCCAGGGCTAGGCCAGGCCAAAGCTGGGAGCTGGGAACACAACCCTGGGGTCTCCCAGGTGAGGGGCAGAGGCCCCAGGACCTGAAGCCTGGTGTTTCCCACACGGGATACAGGCATCCTTAGCATCAGCTTAGGAGCTTAGCCGAACAGCTATGCCCAAAGCTCTGAGATGGAGCCAGGCGTCTGGGTGATCCTGACTGCCTGGTGCCTGGCAGCAGCTGCTCTTGGGTGCTTCCTAGGGTCCTGGCTCCCGGGGATCCTGGGTGCTGAACTCTGAGGGTACAGCTTCTCTTCCTGTCTTCTGCTTCTCCTCCAGATCCTAAGGCAGATCCACACATGAACAGCCCTAGGGGCCATCCAAGTCCGGAGGAGGTTGGGGGAAGCTGACAGTCCACCTGGCAAGGATGGACTTATTGCAGGGACCTTTCACAGTGACCCTGGGATCCTGAAGTTTCAGGATGAGAGGCAGTGAGGGCCTGGCTGTCTGGTCCTGCTCGGCTCCACATCCATCCACCCACATCCATCCACCCACATCCTGGAATGCAGGTGTCAGAGACACCAATCCCTGCCTTTTTTTCCTTTGCTTTGTCTCCAGGCGCAGGTCCTGGCCAATGCCTGCCATGACTTCCTGCCAGTGATAACAGGGAGCTGGGGATAAGGGCAGGAATGTCGCAGGGTGTGGATTTCATTCTAGCTCCCAGTGAGGTGACTTCTTCTGGTTCTCCTGGCACCTGGACTGAGACCCTCCCTGGGGCAAAGTCACTTGGGCTGGCTCAGGTCGTGGTGGGGTGGGGCAGGCTGGCTCGGATTAGCTGGCGCTCCCTCTGCACCTCTGGACCCACTTCTCCACTGGCCACTAAGCCAGATGTGCACGCCGCCCTTGTCAGTGCTGTCCATTGCAACTCACCCTGATAGAGTCCACCTCCCCCTGTGCTGCCCAAATGAGGTAGCTCGCAGCCGGCACCAACCAGCATCATTGTTCACGGCATTTTGGTTCATGAGCACACACTGGTCCTTCCCACCGATGTCTAAGGCCACCCCTTAAGGTAATGCTGCCCTTCTCTCTCCTTTAAGCGAACTGTCAGATGATGAGGGTGGTCCAGTTCCCTGGCTCACCCCCTGTCTCACCCCAGTTGTGTCAACTCCTGGATATGCCTCAAGGGCTGTATACTTTCCTTTTTTTGCCTCACCCTCTCCTCTTCCCTACTTGCCAAAGAGCTCACAGGCAATGTTTAAGCTCTGGATTTAAACCCCAGCAAGACCACACACTTAACTGTGTGACCTGCAAGGTAACTGACCACTCTGAGCCTGTTTCCTCATTTGCGAACTGGGAAAGATAAAAGTGCTTATGGTATCTGGTGCTTGTGGGTGTTCAGAGAATTAATATACTCAGTAGTGGTTAGGGTCCTCGCCTTGCATGCCTGGGATCCCATATGGGTGCCGGTTCTAGTCCTGCTGGCCCTGCTTCCCATCCAGCTCCCTGCTTGTGGCCTGGGAAAGCAGTCGAGGATGGCCCAAAGCCTTGGAACCCTGCACCCGCATGGGAGACCTAGAAGAAGCTCCTGGCTCCTGGCTTTGGATTGGCTCATTCCAGCCATTGCAGCTGCTTGGGGAATGGATCATCGGGTAGAGAATCTTCCTCTCTCTCCTCCTCCTCTCTGTGTATCTGACTTTCCAATAAAAATAAATAAATCTTAAAAAAAAAAAAAGAACAAGAACCGGTTTACACTAAACAGAAGACTTCGTTGCCTTAAAAAAAAAAAAAGAATTAACATACTCAAAGTCCACAGAGCAGGTGTTCCGTCAATGCTACCTACACTTACAAGCTCTGCTGGACACTCCTACCTCTGCTTTCAGGTTCCACCTTATCCAACAGGGCAATGGCCAGGCTGAAGTAGATTAAAGGGAGAGAAGGAGAGACAGAGAGATATTCCACCTGCTGGTTCACTCCCCAAAAGGTCACAGTGGGTAGAACCAAGCCAGGCCAAAGCCAGGAGCCTGGAGCTTCTTTTGGGTCTCCCACATAGGTGCAGGGGCCCAAGGACTTGAACCATCCTCTACTGCATTCCCAGACCATTATCAGGGAGCTGGATGGGAAGTGAAGAAGCCAAAATTTGAACCAGCACCTACATGGGATATTGACTTTGCAGGCAGAGGCATAGCTGGCTACTCCACACACTGGCCCCAAGTGCCTGTGTTTCTATCCAGCTCATGAGCTCCGTGGTGGGTAGGGACCCTACCTTGCTGCCACTTCCCTCAACCTAGCATGCATGCGAGGAGGTCAGTGAGCCATCACTGAATATGTGAATGACAGCAGTATTGGGAGATTGAGCCTGGGAATGCTTGACTTTCTCAAGTCCCTCTCTTTCTCCCCTCCTCACTTCCCTCCTCTGGAATAGGAGGAACATGGAGTCCATCCCTCCTCAAACTGTTTCAGATCTTGGGGCTAAAAGGGGCCTCTTTAGGATTTTAAATGGCTCCTGAGGGAGCTTGCATTGTGGCACAGCAGAATAAGCCACACATCAGTGACTCTCACATCCTATATTCGGGAATGCCAGATGAATTCCCAACTGCTCTGCTCCTGATCAGGCTCCCTGCTGGCACTACATCCTGGGGGGTAACAGCAGATGATGTCTCCCATATGGGAGACCTGGATGGAGCAGCCTGACTCTGGGTCACAGCCAGGTCTAGCCCTAGCTGTGTGGGAAGTGAACCAGCAGACGGAAGATCTGCCTCTCAATATTCAAAAATAAAATAAAACCAATGGCTTTGTAATGTAGTGCAGTGGAGTGGGGACAGTGCTGCAAACCGCATGGCTCGTTGAGCTTGTAGATCTAGGGGGCAGAAGTCTGCAAAACCAAGAGCCATCACAGCTACATCTTCTCTGGGGAGTCAGCAAGGAGAAAAAAAAAAATCTACTTTCTGGCATTTTCCAGTTGCAAGGGTCAAATTCTTCTCACATGTAACTTGATCATAGTTTTTTCCATCTCTCTCCCACATGTCAAGGACCCAGCCATTATCCTGGGCCCAACCAATCACCTATTATAACCTGCTTCTTTCAAAAGCAGCTGCATAGCCCGTCTGCCCCCTCTACCGCATCCCGGAAAGCATGTTGCATGCTCGTGAGGCCCGGGTTCTCCAGGGTGGCTTTTCTTCCCTGCAGTTTGCTCATGGAGTCCCAGACCTGGCACTGAAGGACATCGCCTGCAGCGAGGCCCTGCTGATACGCTTCCTCATCTTCAGCCAGCGGCATGGCGCTCAGACTGTGCGAGGAGCCCTGTGTCCCCTCTCCCAGGGCACCCTGCAGTGGATGGAGGACACGCTGTATGCCAATGTGGACTTCTTCAAGCTCTTCCGCGTGGTAAGCAGCAGTGGAGCTGGCTGCTCTGCCCTTGGGAAGGGATTCCTAGGAGACTCAGGAGACACTGAGTGAGGCATGAACTTGGTGTTGAGAATAGTCCTTGAGGAGGCTCCATTGACTGTCCATGCGCATGGAACCGTGGCCCGGGGACCGGGGACCGGGGAGTCATTGTGGGGTCCACTGTGAGGTGTGGTCATGGCAGACTGATGTTGACTCTGATGTTGGGCATGTGCTCTCCACAGCCTCTAGTAGGTGTGGCAGATAAAGGAGAAGTCTGATTGTGACTCCCTGACCCCCCATTTCGCAGCTAGGCTATCATGGGCAAGATATCTAACCTCTCCTGGCCCCATTTGCTCATCTAAATGATGAGTGTAATACTTGGTCATGACATAAGATACCATAAATGAAGGCTTCATGTTCCTTTTTCTGAGACTGCTCTTGATCCCAAATGTTCCCCTGATTCATGATAGGGAGGGCTAAACAACTGCATGTAATGCCAGCATCCTGTATGGGAGCTTGGGTTGAATCCCAGTGTTCCACTTCTAATTCAGCTTCTTGCTAATACACCTGGGAAAGCAGCAGAAGATGGCTCAAGTGCTTAGGTTCCCTGCACCCATATGGGAGAGCCAGATGAAGTCCAGGCTTCTCCTGACTTTAACCTGGCCTAGCCATGTCTGTTGTCATCTGGGAGTGAATCAGTAGATAGAAGCATTCTCTTTCGCACTTTCTTTCCTTCTCACTATAATTCTGCCTTTCAAATAAATAAATCTCAAAGAAAGAAAACGATAGAGGAAATGTCACAGTCAAAACATATGAACACACACACACACACACACACACACACACTGTTCCCAGATGGCTTGGACCTGCTCCTCTCTCTCCCTTTGCTAGGAGTGGAAGACAGAAAGGAATTGGCAAAAGAAGGTGCAGAGCTGAGACTGTCAACCTGTAGCCTGCAGGAAGACCACCTGCAGAGCCCTGAGTCAGGAGCACTGGGCCGGTGGCTCAGGCAATTTGGAGGGAGGCTGTCGCAGATTCCACTTCCAGAAACCCTCAACCCTGGCGTCCGACAGTGATACGAGTGGGGTATTTCTAGTCCTGAAGCCTGTGCTGTTTAGCCTATACTCTCCTTTCTAGAGTGTGATGGTCTCTCAGTTACTAAGCTACATTTAAAAAGGAAAGGATACTTAATGTGTCTGACCATTGTTCTCAAGAGCTGAGAGATTTCACTCTCTGCTTCCCTTCAAAAGTAAGCTCAGTGAAACTAACCAAGAAAACACCCATCCAGCCCCACCCCCTGTTGCTAGGAGATTCCCCTGAAGGAGTGATGTCCCCTGGGTATGGGTCTCCACGTTACCACCTCATCGGGAATGACCTCCAATGCAGGTGACACACAGTTCAGGACCTGGGGATGCCACCCTGCTCCTGTCCGCCGCACTGCTGGGAGAGCCGGAAACCTTGCAGTCTACACAGCTCTGTCGAGTTTCCAAAGGAACCCGATTTCACACACATATACTCCTCGGCCTGTGTTCAGAAACATAAAGTGTTGGTAAGAGGACAAAGTGTCCATTTTCTGAGTGGCTGACCCCAGCATAGCCCAGAGGAGGGGCCCTACATGTCTGTCTACAGGGCCGCCAAGTTCCATGTCAGGTGCAGCCCCAGTGAAGAACCATGCCTGAGGCTGTGTGCCTAACCTTAAAGAGCAGGGCTCGGGGCTGACAGGGTGCTGGAGATTACATGATCTTCTGGCCACTGAAAAGGAGACAGGTCTTGTTCCAAGCTACCACGGCCACTGATGCAGGGAGATGTTCCTCTGGGGAGCCTGACCTAGAGTCTTGGGCACAAAAGGATCAAAGGGCACTTGGGAAAAACTTTCCATTAGTGACCAGATGCTAAACCCAGACTGCTGACTTCATACTGTTTACTTCTCAGACCAAGGTCTGGCCTTCTGCCCTTACACTTGCTGCAGGAGCAGGTGCTCAGGATCAGAAAGCAGAGCCCAGCACGCGCCAGTTGCCCTCACTGACCCGAGTGTCCTGTGTGCTTGCTAGCTGCTTGCCAGCCACACCTGCAGAAGGCACCTGCCAGCACCAGACACCAAGCTGAGGCCAGGGCTACAACCATGAGCTTACCATGCCCAAGGGACACAGGGACCAGACACAAGCACACAGGCCACTTCACAGCAGCAAGGCATTGAAGGACCAGCAGTACCTGCCCCTAGAACAGCCCTCTGAGCCTTGACTGTACCTTGACCTACCCTGGAAGCTTTGAAGAACCACCATGCTTTCCATTTGCTGGTTCACTCAACAACCGGGCATGGTTGGGCCAAAGCCAAAATCAGAAATTCCATTCAGAACTCCCACATGGGTGCAAAGGTCCAGAGACTTGGTTTATCTTCTGCTGCCTTCCCAGGTGCAATAATAGAAAGCTGGATCAGAAGTAGAGCAGGGGGAGCTTGAGCTGATGCTTACATGGAACTTGCATCACAGGCAGAGACTTAACTTGCTATACCACAATGCCAGCCCCCACAATTCAGAATTTCTTAAAGCTTCCCAGGTACTTCTAAAGACCAGTCAAAGTGAAGAGTCACTGACCTGAAGCCTCGGAGTTTAAGTTCCAATCTCAGCTTCCATAGGCCAAACACAAGTGCAATATCCCAACAGCCCTTGAGACTCCAAGGCACTGATCACTCATAAGACCAGTGTGTGGTATAGACCGATGACTGGCTCTGTAGACACCTCCACCCTCCTGTCCTCATACCAAAGCCAGGACATTTCCCAGCCTGGGACTAATGGACCCAGGTGGACTGTGACCCTGCACCGGTCTTCCAGAACTGTCTCTGCTTACCGTCTTCTTGCACCTACTTCAGCTTTTTAGGGCCACACAGGCTCCAAACAAAAAGAACCAAACCAACGCTGTGTGAGCTTCTACTGCCCTTAAACAGGCTTTTCCTCTTGATGGATGCATAAAACAGCTGAATCCTTTTTTTAATGGACTGATAAAGAAATCTAAAAAGAAATTGCAAGCATTAAGATAGCATTTTTTGCTATTATTGCTCATGTACCCATCTATCTTTTTGGTTTTTTTTAATGACCCTGAGGCAGGCAAGCCAGGCAGACCCCCTGCTCCTCTGAGTCCAGGCAGGGGCCTCCTGGGCCCGGCTGATATTGCAGCTGCTTGGCGGGCAGCCATGCCGGACTCCAGTGCGGGATGCTGGATCTCCGTGCTAGGTCATTCTCACAAGCACGTAGGCCAGTGTATAAATAAGATTTTATTAAATGCTGCAGAAATTCTTAGGAACAAAGAAAGAGGGAAATCTTAGTAAATCCCTGTGAAGGCACCTGCTCCTGGCGTGGAAGGAGCAGGGGGTATGGGATGGGAGAGGGGTATGGTCTCTGAGATCCTGGAACCCATGAGGTTTGAAAGAACCAGGGGTTGTGATAGAAGAAGGTTGGGGGAGAGCTTAGGGCCAGCACCAGCTGGGACCAGCTGTGTTTTCTTTCCCCCCACCCCAGTCCCTTGGAAATCTGGAGTGAGTGTTGTCATCCTCCAATAATGCAAATGTGATACCCACGGTTCCGTGCACACTCACACCCCTGAACACCCACGCGCTGTTGCACACACTCACTTGCATGTGTGGGCACATGCCAGCCGGTGATCCAGGTGGGCTGAGCAAACAAGACACCAGGTGCCTGGGTTTTCCTAAAGGAGCTTTCGTCTCTCTTGGGCGCACCTGCCTTGAGACAGCTCCCAGAAACTGCTATAACCCTGCGACCTTCTACAGGAACAGCACCCGCCAGCTTGCAACCTGGCAGTCCAGACCCAGCCCAAGGTGTTATTACCGCCAGCACCACCTGAAACGGTTTGCACTTGGAGCCGCAGGCCAGTTTCGGGTGAGGGGTTGGGAGCGTTCCCATCTGATTTGGCCCCAGGCATGCTTGCCCTCTCCTCCTCCGCCCCCTTCCCCTCCCCTTAGATCCTTCCTGTTTTCCCTCTGACTCGGTGCACAGCTTTGTAATCTTGCTGGGAAGCAAATCTGTCCCTTCTGCTTTGAATGTTTATTTGTGGAAGTTCGGCAGGGGGACCAAGGAGGGTGCCAAGACCAGCTACGCTGCTGGGAAACCAGTGTCCCTCCTGTCCGCCTGCTCAGAGGGCTTGGTAGAGGGACTACACACACAGGAGTGTGTGGTGTGCATGTGCGTGATGTGTGCGTGTGCACGCGTCATGGCTCTAACCGGCTTTGCCCTCTATGAATGCTTCCAATCCTACCCTCTTCCCTTCACCCGACCCCTCAGTGTGAGTTTTGTTCTTCCCTTGTCTGGGTCTCTTAGACCATGGGATGCTGAACACCTAGTCCCAGGAGAGAAAAGGTCCTAGTCTTGGGCTGCTGACCACCACCTCCCATCACCCTCTGTCCTGCTTGGGGATTGGCTGTGCTCCCTGAATTCCTGAACCATGAGGAGTAACTGGGAGCAGACTGCCTGCTTCCCAGGGAGAGCCAGCTGTAGTCGGTCCTGTGCTCAGGGTCATTGGCTGCCGGTCGTTAAATTTCAACTAGGCATTTCCACACGAAATAGGGGAGAATGGGGGTGGGGGAGGGAAAGACATTATTGTGACTACGTTTTTGAGAACCCCGCAGCTCCAGGATTTTAAAATGAGGCCCTCTTCACGGCTTACGCGGATAATAATTTCTCTCTTCCCGTATCTCAGTGATTGGATTGGCATTTTTCTGTCTTTTCTGTGTAAAGTCTCGGGATGGGAAGAGAAGGGTAAAATCCAAGGACTGTCGCTGCCCAGGGTGCAACAAGGATGTTGACTAGAAACATCTAGGTTAGAAAAGAGACTTTTTGCTCTTTTGAGAATGATTAAGCCCCTGCAACTATATATGACTTTCAACACTCATACTTGCTCTGCCTACGTCCACAAAAAAAAACAAAAATCAGTATCCCAGTCTGCATGTCCTCTAGATGGATGAATTTCAAGAAAAAAAAACTTACAGA